TTTCGTTCATTTATTTATTTATTTATTTATTTATTTATTTATTTATTTATTTATTTATTTATTTATTTATTTATTTATTTATTTATTTATTAGAAACTTGTTACAGCCCAGAAGTGCCAGAGAATGGTTTCATAGTAGAAAATACCACTTATCCTGTGACTACTGGCACTGAGCTTACTTATGATTGTAAGTCAGGTTATGAATTATATGATCCTAGTACTGAACAATGCATATTGTATTCGACTACTGTCTGTGATCAGGGCAATTGGACTGAACCTGTTCCTGAATGCAGAGCATATTGCACAAACCCGGGCACACCACAAAACGGGTACCAAGTTGGTTCACCATCATATCCTGTGTGTACAGGCACTTCCATAATATTCAATTGCTCATATGCATACGAATTAAAAGGTGAGAAGGCATTGACATGCAATGATGGAGTTTGGGACAATGACATACCTATATGTGTTCCGCAGTGTGAAAACCCAGGTGATCCAGACAATGGTGGACAAATTGGCAACCACACTTATCCCTGTTCAAATCTCACTGAGGTCGAGTTTTATTGTGATCTTAGCTATCAGCTAATGGACCCTGTTACACTGGAGTGTCTTGAGGAGTACGACACAACATGTGTTAATGGCAATTGGTCACAAGCTGTTCCATTATGTCTCCCACAATGTTCTGACCCAGGAACCCCTAATAATGGTAGCCAGACAGTTGTCCATGATTATCCTGTATGTAGCAGCACTGTTGTTGAATATGAGTGTGATGAACATTTTATACTTCATGATGAAGAATCTCTTGAATGCTTAGAGAGTTTTACAACCACTTGTCAACTTGGTACATGGAGTAACAACCGTCCCATTTGTTTACTGGAATGTGAAGATCCTGGTGCTCCCTCACACGGTTTTGACACAAGTAATAACACTTATCCAGTTTGCTCAGGAACAGATGCTTCTTTTACGTGTGAACAGCTGTATGAGCTAAGTGGGCCATCAACAACAGTATGCCATAATGGTGAGTGGGTTCCAGCAGTACCGGAGTGTGTTCCAATGTGTATTAATCCTGGAAATCCAGAGAATGGAGGACAGGTTGGAGTGCCTTGTAATCCTTGCTCAGAATCAACAGAAATAGAATTCTATTGTGATAGCGGGTACCATCTAATGGCTGCTAACTTAACAACATGTCTTTCTGAGTCTTCAACCACGTGTACTGATGGTAACTGGACATCACCACTGCCTTACTGTCTTAAAGAGTGTGATGACCCTGGCAGCCCAGCCAATGGAAAGCAGGAGTCTACTACTGACTTTCCAGTGTGTTCGAGGACCACAGTCTCATTCACATGCGATGAGAATTATGAACTTCAGGGTTCCAATGTAACCACCTGTTATGATGGAGTATGGAGTGACCCAGTTCCAACGTGTGTTGGTCAATGTGATGATCCAGGTACCCCTGCAAATGGTAGCCAGGTTGAAGAACATGACTACCCAGTAAACAATGGCACATGGGTGTCATTCACATGTGATGATGGGTATGAGCTGCATGATACAAATACAAAAGAATGTGTTCCATCCTACAGCTTTATGTGCTATGAAGGTATATGGCTTGGCGATCTGCCTGTGTGTCTTGGTACATGTAGTGATCCTGGTGTACCAGAAAACGGTCTTGCAGTTGGGAATTATACTTTTCCGATTTGCAGTGGTGCAGTTGTAAATTACACATGTGATCCACTATTTGAACTACAGGGTGAGTCTGCTTTAACTTGCCTGAATGGTGAATGGAGTGCAGATATTCCAGCATGTGTTCCCCAGTGTACTGATCCACTATACCCAGAGAATGGATATCAAATCGGTGATCATGATTACCCAGTTAACAATGGCACATATGTTGGGTTTGCATGTGATGATGGATATCATCTACATGATTCATACACACGTACCTGTCTGGACACAGCGGTAACCCAGTGCATACTTGGAAATTGGACTGAACCTCTTCCTGTTTGTGTAGAAGAATGTGATGACCCAGGTTCACCAACTGGTGGAAGTCAAATTGAAATATATGCATATCCTGTCTGTTCCGGAACTAAAGTGTTTTTTTCATGTGACGAATTTCATGACATGCAAGGATTCAATGTAACTGTTTGTCAAGCTGGTAACTGGAGCAACCCACTTCCACAATGTGTACCTCAATGTTATGACCCAGGAACACCTATTAATGGAGAAAAAACAGATGAGTATGTCTTCCCAGTGTCCAATGGGACAGTAGTCAATTATACATGTCATGATGGTTTTCAATTACACAACTCAAGTTCATCCGATTGCATGGAATATAGTGCAACACTTTGCCTTGAAGGAGTTTGGACGCATGATGTTCCATTCTGTGTTGCTGAATGTGGTAATCCCGGTACACCAACTAGTGGGTGGCAAGTAGGAAACACTTCTTATCCTGTTTGTAGTTCAACAACAGTGTCTTTTGAATGTGATTATCTCCACGAATTGGTTGGATCACATACCATAATTTGCCAAAATGGCCAATGGAATGATTCATCGCCAAACTGTATTCCACAATGCACCAATCCAGGATATCCAGAATATGGTGGTCAAGTTGGTGACCATGTGTACCCTGTATCATTTGGAACTGAGGTTACATTCTACTGCAATGACACTTACCATCTTCATGACAGCAATTCTACAGAGTGTCTTGATTCTGCAATCACAATATGTATCAATGGCAGTTGGGACATAGAACTGCCAGTTTGCTGGAAAGAATGTAAAAATCCTGGAACTCCAGCGAATGGTGAGCAAGTAAGTGACAACATATACCCAGTGTGTACAGGCACAATGGTGGAATATGTATGTGATGATGGCTACGATTTGACTGGGTCAAATTCATCAGTGTGTGCACATGGAAAATGGAGTGAACCATTGCCTCAATGTGTTGGGAATTGTCAAGATCCAGGAACACCTGATAATGGCTATCAAGAAGACAATTACAGCTACCCAGCAGAAAATGGCACAGTTGTGGAATTCGGATGCAATGATGAGTACAGTCTCTACTCTGAACACTCCGGGTGTGTCAATGTATCTAAAACAGTGTGCTTAGAAGGACAATGGTCCCATCCTATTCCAGAATGTAAAGGGATATGTGGGAATCCTGGAGTTCCTGACAA